TTTAAAAATATATAAGCAGCGATTTTTTTTTATTTCACAACGCAACTTGACGATCCTTTAGAGCTGCATATCCAGTGGACCAACAATAAACAAAAGATTTAAATCCCCAAGCACGAAGCATAAAGAAATACATAATATCGCTCACTTTAAATTTAGTTCGTGTCAATCAGGGGATAAATACTTCCTAGATTCTGCCTACAATTTTCATTCAAAAGCTTCTGTTTTAAAATTCTGCTTTGATCAAGTTGAGAAATTTCTCAAAGAAGTGGCAGAAATATGTTAAGTCGATTTGTTTTTCGATCATTGGAATGGATACACATGCTGTGTTCAAAACAGAATGAACTAGTGCAGTATTTCGCAGGTACGTGGGCAAAGACGCCATTGGCACCAAAACATACCCTGATTGGTTTGAAAGTACAATAAAAATGCAAGAAATACAATTGCAGTTTCTGACGAAAAAATTGCTAGAACAAATGGAGAAAACTTGGAGCAACACGCGTATGTTTGCGTCAGAACCCTGTTGAAGTTGCTTTTCTGAACAAGATTCTCTTCAGAACACCAGCAAGTTTCGGCATAGTGTCATCCATTGCGCGAAAATATATTCCGCACAATATTTCATCTCCTCGGCACGAGATGCATTACTTGATTGGAAATCAAGGAGAAGCTAAGCTTCATTCCAACTTGGAAGGATAACCACGAAGGATTCGGGTTTCCTGATGCTGGAGCTGGGGCCGAACACCCCGAAAAACGGAACGCGTGTTCGGCGTAGATTACGAGCGACAAATTCGCGCTTCCGCTTCCGAAGCCAGATCCTATTCCGGAATAAAAAAAAAAAAAAAGCTTTCCGCGTCCAATCTTGCACTTGGTGGCCCACACGGATAACGACGGCCGCCCAAGTGACTCTCATCTCGGAGAAGAGCAGGGCGTCGAAATAAGATGAGATGCGGGAAATGACGCACCACAACGGTGGCTCCCCGCAGAGCCATTCTTATCCCACCGGGCGCAATGAAGACATCGGTTCCTCCGTCAGAGGGCGGGAAAAAAAAAGGGACTCGAATCCCTCTCAGCGTTCAACAATGGGCGAAATTCGGGGCTTCTTTGCTGCTGGGGAATGGTAATCTTATGCGGGATCAGACGCTGCTCGTGGGCGATATACTGCCGGTGCTGCTTCTCCTGGGTAATGCATCATTGATCCAAATGGCGCGTTTTCGCATTGTTGTCAGATCTCGAGGCAGTCGGGGAAACTCTGCGTGTATCATGCAAACACGGGGACGAACAGGGTAATTTTCCCTCATTAGCTGTCAATCCCAATCACGTACCACAGCAGCACGTGCGGTAAAGAACAGTACTGTACTTCTTATTACAGAGCAGCTTTTACGAGGGTTGTCCCACTTCGGCGCGACCTCGGTTATTTCTGATGTATGTATGACTGTAAAAAAAAAAACTACGATTTAGCCCATGATGTTGTAAGGTTCTGGGATTTTATTCAAAATTAAAAATGTATTTTACTGAATGATGATGAGTGAAAACTTTCCAGTTACAAACAGTTCTGCACGCATGTGCTCAAAATTTTCAGGTCAGCTAAAGAGAGCATTTTATTTTTGTATCAACATTTTATGTAGTGGTTGAAACAATGAAAACTTCAATTTTCAGCTGGCCCAACAAATTTTTAGCACAGCTACAATTTGACATGGGTGGAGAACTCTGGCCATATATCACTGGAAAGTTTCCACTTATCATCATGCAGTAAATTTAAATTTTATTTGAATTTTAAAAATCCCAGGATCTTATAACATCATGGGCCATTTAATTATTGTCTACATTTATACAGTACACATTTCAGAGATAACCAAGTTCGCGCAAGCGGGAGAACCCTCGTTAAATGTATGCAATGGTATTTCTCAGTGTTCTTACAATGATTAAGTTTGGTTAAATTAAGTTATTCACGTTGAAAGCTTTTCTCAACAAGGTATTCTCGCGTATGAATAACCTAAAATGAATTTGCGGTTTACTGTCTTTTATTGACTAATTTTATGCGCATTCATATTTGCGTTCGCATTTTTAAAAAAATTATAGGGGTTTCAATGAAGGACTTCGCGAACCCGAGTAAAGTCTCACGCGCTCATTTTTATCTTGTGACATACAGTATATGCGCTTTTGGGACGCGTCGCTCTCAGATGCGCTCAATTTTGCGCACCCCCAACCAAAAAATTCAATGGCAAAAAGATTGAAGAAGAAAATATGCATACTTATCTTGAATTCTGCGTTATACATGCAGCGTTAAAATTAACTGCATTTTTCGCCGATACGGAAGCGGAGATTAAGATGATAAAAACGGTTCTCATGCATGTCATCAGCCTCAATTAATGCATAAGACGAAAGTCCTTCAGAAATCCTTACACAGGTACACTTCCGTGTATAGCCGCGCATTTACCTCTGGGAGGCATTTCTCGGCAGGTTTCGCTGGTTGAAAGTATCTCGCTGGAAAAGAAGAGAGAGCCTTATTTCAAGAAGTTTTTCCTGCTACTCGGAAGATTTATTTGCCAGCATATATCGGATGATGCAGAGGCCCTCCTGATTGTGTATTGCAAACCTTCACAATATATGTTTATCACGAGAAGTTCGTTCTTCTCATGACGTCTGCTGTACCGCTATGCATAACGGGTATAATCAAATAATAGGCCGGTTTTATCTTAGAAATACATAAAATGCAATCGATCCTTTTTCTGCTGCTTTTGTTAATGAAGACGAATTTTTGCTGCACGCAGTGGCAGAATATTTTTCTTTCCAAGGCTTCCGGCGGGGAGTTGCATAAAATAAGGCGATTATGCGTCTGACAGCTATAGATTATATAGAAATGGGGAAATGGCTCGCGGAAACGCAGCACAATCAAGGAAGATTCCACGACTGGAAAATGAAAATCGTCGTGAATATGATTGAGAAAAGGCCGAATATTTTTTTCATTGGAATATGAACGTATTTCTCATGGATGGCCGCATACATGCGAGGATGGCTTACATGCTGTGTTTTCTGTGAATCTTTTCAAATACTACGCAGTATCACTGCCGTTACAACATATATACAGCATTCAAGTGATATACTTCCGACTGATGATAGATGCAGTATGTCATAGCATAATGCCGGCGACTGTTAAAGTGACATGGCTGATTTTATACACGTCATTTTCAAGGTCAGGTACAACGATCGGCGCGCATAAACAGGTGCTGGCGATATTTTCAGCTTCCTTCGTACCTGCTGTGGCCTTGATTGAGGTTTGAATGGTACGAAATGTTTTCATCAGCAAGCACTAAATGAAATTAATACCTTCCTGATTATTGTTCTATTTTTTGCTCCCTCAGGTTGAAATGGAGAGAAGATTGAGTTCGAAGCGGACCCCATCAATGTTCTTTCCATTCAGCCACTGCTATTGGGCGCTTCATTTATATCAAAGCTCGTTTAATACCAATTAATTAAAATAATTAATAAATTCAGAGTAAACGTCTCACATACTTCAAATCTGGCTCGGTACGACAAAAAACGTTCGATGGAAGACATTCATTGCTTACATGATTGGGCCGTTCTAAGAATAATTTGAAAGGATAAAAAAATCAATTTTTGAGAGGTTTTGAGTTATAGGGAGGTTTCGTAAAGTAGGTCTAAAAATAACTGCCGTGAATTATAAAATACATAATTGGGGCTGCCATTTTTGCTTAAACTGTTCGTAGTGTGTTAAAAAGCATTTCCTTGATTATACCCACCGCATGAAAGAGGCTAACCGCGAGAAAATGCAGTATAAGTAAATCGACAAAATTCTGACACTTAAGCCAGGATTTTATGGACCTTATTAAAGTTGCTCATTTTATTCTCCAAAAGCATTACCATTTGAATTTCTTCTCCCTCCTTGTCTTCAAAATATATGACTGGGAGGTTTGCACTTGAACATTTCAAGTTGAAGTGATCCAGGTCCTATTGTTTTAAAGGGGCTTGAAAAGGGACGCGAAAAAAAAAATTGCGTTAGGGAGGTTTTCAACTCAGCGAGGTTCGAGTTGAAGAGGACTGTAATATAAAACTGATGAATGAAAGACAAAGTTGAAAATTTACTTACTTTTATTCACTTTCGCGTTTTCTCGTAAACTTCAAAATTGTCACCACTCGAAATTAAAACACGGGCACGAACGCCGAGCCGCCGCAGCAAAAATGCCGGGCAACAAGAGCAGCGCCTTCCAAAAAAAAAACTCAAACAAAACCAACGTATCGATATAAGTATCAGAGCCTCTTCAGAAGTAGAGGAAAAAAGAGGCTTACGAGAGCGAAGATTGCATAGTAGAAAACAATGTCTCACTAAAAATCTCTTTCGTCTTCGAACTCTCAGAGAGGAAACGTTCCTAATTCAAGACAAGACGCGGTAATTGAGAAGACTCGTTCAGTAATTAGAACGAGTTCTCTCAACCAAAGCGTACAAATATTTCAAATTACTCATTCCGCGTCGCGCACTCCGACTCATGCTTTTCTTAAATTAGGCACGTTTCCTCTCTCAGAGTTCTGCTGACCACGCAAACATTCGACAATCCAAACACACGGCGTTGAAATAAACAAAATAAGCAGATGAACAAATAAGCTACCGTGAAGGAAAGGCCTCCGGGGCGGGAACAAATCAATACTGCGCAGACGCCAGTTATAGGTCAGAGTACAGGCAAGGGCGTGGAAGGTTCCACGCCCTCGCATGTACGCGTCACCGCCGGTGGTTGGGATCGAACCGGGGTCTCCATAGCGTCTGTGCCCACGTTCAAGGGGGTACAGCTTGATTTCTGTATCAATTGATATCAACAATGCCGATGCTTCTTTCATAGATTAGAGATGATTAGTGTCAAGGAAGACAGCGTTACAGTAACAAAGTTCCAACAACAAGCCGGTCGTTCGTCAAACAACGAAAACGCTTCGCAGCACCAGTCCAATACGTCACGGACTCTTCGATTATCATACTTGTCCCGGGAATATCTTCAATGTCTCATTCTACGTTTGCCTGATTGCACAGAACCGTGAACTCCGAGAGTAGACCGGCGATTCAGGGCCCGACGATCGTCCAGGCTACGGAAAGATAGACGTGGGAGGGAAGAGCGAAGTGCATGGTTCGGGCAGTGTTGATTCCGTTTCCTTTTTCCTTTCCTTTCTTTTTCTCCGTCCGCCTTTTCTGAAGTCACATGGACCTTAAAAATGCCTTGATCCGGAACGACTCAATTCCGCTGAATCTACGATGTCCCTCGGTGGAATTCAGGCGTCTAATGGGGTTGTTCTTGATCACTGTCGCTGGTTGTGTCGTGCGAGCTCTTGTCTGGAAGCAAACGACGAATTATCAGACAGTTATTCCACATCAAGCAAAGTTACTTCCAGCGTTTCGCCCAGCATAAAAGAACTACCTCCTGTGCTGGTTGACCATCATCATCAGATGGAGGAACATTCGCCAAACGTACAGTTCTAATAAGTTGGTCTATATTCGTGTACGGCAGTGCTTGCTGCATACGTACTGTACGTGAATTAATTTTCCAGTCATACTTGAAATTTTCGAGTTCTCTTATAATGATTTCGGGCAAGTGAACGCAAAAAGTAACCTCACATAGGAAGAACCGACGATGCTCACCATTCTCACCTTTCTTCCCTTGATACGCGTGCTTTCTCAGTCTGTCGTAGAGATCCTCGGTTTGTCTCGTACCATAAACACTCGCGTTCGACCGGGCCAGACTATTCATCTTTCCGTTGTGCAGGCTCTCTGCTTGAATTCGGATACCGAAAACACGTTGCACGCAAAATTCTACGATTCAGACAATTTCGGGGAATACGCACCTTTCATGTAGGTTTCGTTGTAGAAATTGGGCATTTCCCAGCCATCCTCCTCGTCATCGTAGTAATGAGCATAAGTGGAGTGGTGTGAGGGTGCGATGCTCTCGGCGTACGGCGCCGGGGATCCATAGTAGAAGTTCACCGCGGAGCCATTCAAATCCAACGGAGGCGTCAGTACCTTTTTCGGTTCAACCGTCTGCAGAAAATACGAGGATAAACATTTTTAAGGATAAATAAGGTGCACTGGGCAAGCAGTAATTCTCACGAACAAAAAATCCAGCAATAATCTATAATACTCCTTACTCCGCGGTTTACTCAATCTCTCATAAATTAAGGTTAAGAAGGCTGTTAGGGTAGCTATTTATTCATCCAGCTGCAGTACCTCTTATACCTCACAAATTATTCTATCTCAATCACGAAACTATACATTTTGGTCAGAGAACATTTTCAACTGCTCATAATTTTTCGGCTCTTATATGCTGCTGGGTTTCTTCAAAATTTGCTGATTACTTTCTCCGGATACTTTCATCCAGTTTTTCGTTTAATTTAATAAGCAATTTATTCACACTAAGTTTTATTTGCTTGAAAGGATACGATTCGATGACATATACAGTACACCACTCTGATCATTTCTACGAATTTTCATGTCATTCACCAACCAATGTGAATTTTTTCACCAACCATCTGAAAAAATTAATTGAATGTGGCTTAATGAGTCATATATACTGTATTCCAGTTGTACCTAAAATTTCAACCTGCGCCCGAAATTCATGCTCGGGCTTATTTTTTGGGAACACCAGGATTCATCTAAAATTCGCAATTTCCATCAAGCACGTCATCAAAGCCTATGAGATTGATCAGATGAACGATAATCACTCGGGAGAGAAAGTTTAAGATAGCTTGGTCAAGAAATTAGTCGAAAACGAAGAATTTGAAAAACTGACCTTCTTCCTAGAAGTTCTGACCCAGATCATGTAGATGAGAAGCACCAAGAAGGAAATGAGCAGCACGGCGGCGGCGATTCCTCCAGCGTAGTAAGCGAATTCGGAGCGGCTCTTGCATCTTGGACCGGTAAAGTTTCTGATGCACCTGCATTGAGGTTCGCCATCTTCCCGCTTTTCGCACCGGCCTTCATTAACGCAGTAACCGTCGCACTTGTCTGGAAAATTCGCGAATAAAATGCGAATAAGAAAGACGATTGAAGCATGCACTTATATGCTCGCAAAAACGATCAGCTTGGAAATGAACGATAGATCAGAGCGACGTCTGATTTCCACGCGCGGTCCAGCGTAATTATAATTTTCACAAAGCAGTTAGAAGAAATGGGGCAACTGAAAAAATCACATTATTCTAGAGGATTCATGGAGAGATCACTTTCCGTCTTGAAAGTTTTTTTCCATCGACCTGATCTTGAAATGGATGATGAAAGGAAAAATCTGCCACTAGCAGAATTATCCATTACAGTGCATCATCCGTGGTTTCAGAATAGATTATATTTTAAAATATTAAAAATCTCAGGGTAACCAAGCATTCAAAAACATTATCCGATGATTTTTAAAATAATTCAACCCAGGTAACTGGAAAATCCGTCCGAATACGGCCAAGAATTTATATATGCGATGCCAAAGAAGTTTGCTTCAGAAGAACCGAATCAATGATGAAATTTTAAAACGAATTCCTCCAAATTGTCCAAAAACATCAGTTAGATCTAATACTGATGCAACTGTCAAAATCTATGATGACGTCACGAAAATTGGCGAAAATAACGAAAAGATCCAGATGATTTACCTTTGCAGTAGGTACCGTTGCCTTCGAAGCCAGACATGCATCGACAGGCGAACTCGTTCCGCTCCTTGTTGAAAAAGCATTGGGCGTGTTTGTGGCACAAAGTTTCTTCTCCGTTGACTTCACACGGGTTCGTGCACTCATCAACTCCGACGGCGCCTTCGGCGGAGGTGGACGTATTCGGCGGGCATTCCTCGCAAGACGTCTTCTGAGACTCGGGCTGATACATGCCTTTCGGGCACTTGACGCATTGATTGCCAAGGCTCGAATTCAGGTAAGTTCCTGAAAGAAAGGCAGATTGTCATGATAGATATCCCAAAAAAATTCTACCGGTAAAGCATTTCGGCATCTGGTTTTAAAATACCTGTACATTTGCAAGTTAATAAAATAATTACCAGGGTCGCAGATCGGCAACGAGCAGTCCTCAATGGTGTAGGCGCCAGTGCTGAGAGTGGTTCGGCCCGAAGGACACTTTTTGCACGCCAAATTTACGCCTTTAGTCCTGTAGGTGCCACGAGGACAAGGCTCGCAGTTGCCAACCAGACCCAATTGATAGCCAGATCCACATTCCTCACGGCATTCCTTTAAAAGAGAGAAAGATTCCAGTCATCAGACAACCCGAAACAATGTTTAGAGCATTTGAAATCTCACATCTTTCGTGGTGGCGCTGTCGGTGCGAGTGGTGAGGCCGAGTCCGCAAGGAGAGCAGCTGAATTTTCCCTCCTCGGGTTGGTACATTCCGTAACCACAAGGTCTGCAGAGGCTCGTTTCGGCGTCGTAATAATGGCCAGCCAAGCAACGTTCTAAAAGAAGATGAGGAGAATCAATAGAGAATCACGCAAGAAAAATAAAACATTTTCAATTTTCAACATTTGCGATGCCATGCCGGAATTTTCGTTTGGGTATCATGTTCCTCATATAACGTAGTACATTATAATTAAAAAGATTATATTTTTATCTGATGACGCTTAAGGATGTAGCTAATGAAGGGAAAAAATTTTTCAACTATAATTCAATTTTTTCGTTAATATCGAAGTTTACCTCAAAATAATTAAAATATACTGTATTGGTATTCTTATTGGTATTCTATACTATACAGTATATTGGTATTCATATATTTTTTTCGGAACTTTTCCTGGGCTTATGAGAGAGAGAGTACAATATAGTTCAGGCATCCAGATGGGGAAAAATTAAATTTTTGTTCAATTGTGGCTTGTGAATTGAACCCTCGTCTTAATTGAGGTGGGAACTGTTACAACTGTAGAATTTTCGAGGCCGACCAGCATGCAGTAGTGCCATTGGCACAAACAATTTAAAATGCGAGGATAATGTGAAGAAGGAATTTCATTTTGATAATATCATTTCCACAATACGCGGGAAAATAAGATATCTTCTTTCGGCATCTAATAACATCTATGTTATCATTTTTTAATCCGTTATCGGGGGGCTCATATAGTGTACTGTACTCGCATTTAAAGCGGTCTCTTTAAAAGAGAACCTAATATAGGGCTTGTGTTCAATAAATCTTTTTTTTTTCCTTCGACGGGGAACATAGCGTGGAGATTTTTCGAAGAAAGGATTCCTGTTTGATGCCAAATGGATATTTAGGAAAACTACGTTTATCAAAGAAGACTTTGAAATTTATGAGGAGGCTTCTGAAGAAGTTTTTTTTTCAACTCACCTTTGCACATGTTAGAGCTTCTCGCTCCGGGCATAGCAGTGACACCTTGTTTGCCAGCGATATTCGGACACGGCTTGCAGCGAATCTGTCCAACGTCGTTCTGGAAAGTGCCGATCGGACAGAACTTGCAAGTTTCCGTAGTGGCGTCGTAAAACGTGCCAGCAGCACAGTCAACGCAATCCGGCGGCGCCACAACTTTCCCGATGGGGCAAGCATAATCAGAAGACAAACGCAGAGACCCTGGATCTGGCACAACGTTCGGCAACACTTCGCCCACATCAAACTCGTTCTGTTCCAGGATAATGGCCTCGATCAGGTCTCGAATATTGGCACGGTCGTTGGAGTTGACATTCGTTGCGGGGTCGTTCACAGCCGGGAAAGACACTTCAACGGTGTAGACGTCATCGTTCTCAACTTGACGCCGAGACCGAGATTTCTTGGTGCATTTCACATCGACTTCCAAGTCGTTGCACATGCCGGAGCCTCGGATCGTGTTGGAGCAAATGCGCCAGTTCCTGTTCAACATCAGCAATGCGTTCTTGATTTTCTCAGACAGTACACCCTGTCCAGCTTCGTTGCAGATGACGGAAGTCGGGAATTGCATGTTGATCTTGAAGACACGTTGGGCCGGTGTCGCAGCTAATATAAAAAAGGCAAAGTTTAAAGCGGTTGTATCTTTAAAAAAAAATTAAGAAAAGAGGGACAGTCACAGCAAGAAAGGCTTAAAGCAAATTCATCGTCTAGATGATGAGGAAGGCATTTACTAAACTACAACCTCATGACAATACACCATATTCGTGTATAGGCCAGATTCATTTTCGGGAAAATGTACACAAACATTTTCACGAGCGAGCTTTTTTCAAAGAAGAAGCCATCACGAAAAAAAACCTACGAGTAATTCACTATAAAAATTAAAATTAAGCAAGAAGTCAATCTCACAAAACCTTAGTTTCGTCCTTTTCCGACGACAGTAAATTAAATTTTATCGATTATCCTCACCAGCACACGCCGGATAGACCAAAGGAGACGATTCGTCCTGGTTGGGTCTCCAAATACCGTCAGCACCACACGTGTAAAAATCGGGAACGTCCTGAGAGAATTTCTGGCCCGGGTTACATGAAATCTGGCAGACCTTGAATCGGCCACCTGGACCCCAGTCGTTGCATCGTTGACTGCCGCCGACGGGGTCTTCAGGTGACGGACAGAAGTCAGACAACACGTAAATCTTGAAGTTGCAGCTCGCCGAGTTTCCGGCTTCGTCATAAGCAACATATGCCACCTGAAAATAAAATAAAAACGTTATAACAATCGATAAATCAAAAGAAATAATCAGTACGAAAGCATGTTTTCAACCGTGACTGTTAGCTAGACATTTTCTCGAGAAGCAAACGATACGCGACGCAAACAACCAACTTATCGTGCAAACTAGACGAATAATAGCGTTTGTTTCACGGCGAATAAGTGTGTGTTGATTTGAAAACTTGCCTGATAAGTTCCCCAAGAGAAAGCCTGTCCAGGGGTGTAGTCATTCTGCTCAACAACACGCGTGAGGCGAATGTTGTCGCTGAAGATCGGCGGGTCCCAATTGACGAAAGCAGAGCCGTTCTTGGAGATGACCCAGATGTTGCTGGGACAGTAATCCACGCGTGGCGGGTACTTGTCCTTCAGCAGGCTGTCGCACTTGGACCCGAAATAGCCGGGTGGGCAGACTTTAGAGCCACACTTGGCCGGACTGATGCGCTCAACGTTTCCTTCTATCTTGTCGTAACCCGTCCAGCGGAGCAGCAAACCGTCAAAGAGGACCGGAGCGTTTTTGCAACTGAGTACCTGCAGTAGATTGACCGCGATCAGAAACAGTTTTCGGCAAACACGTACTTTGAATAGCTTAATAAAGAACTGTCCACCACATTATAGAAACAAAAAGTCGAAGTAAAATAAAAAATAATGTATGTTTCAACCTCTGGTCGAAAATTGAAAAGCTACCGCTTCAATATGCAATTATTGTCTGCATCCTGATTTTTTTAATCATAAAATTTGTACGTACACATAAAATATTTGAAAAAAAAGTGGTAGCTTTTGTATGAGGAAAAATGAAGCCCATATAAAGAGGCAATTGCCCTAGAAATCTAAATGACGAAGAGATTATAGGGTAAGTATCTATTGGTAAAAAAAAATCCATGCCATCAACTGCAATTCGGAAATCACTAGCAAGCGCAAGTGGAAAATTTTTTCGAGAGCTTTTTCCAAGGAAAGATTTTTTTCTACCTATTTTTCCTCACAGTTAATTCTTTTTCCTTCTCAGGATAACGAAAATAACCTAAAAAGTCAGGTTTCATACTATAATGGAAGTAACGACCGAGTTTTCTATAGGGGCTTTTGTTTTTAGACGAGTTAGCCGATGATTGGGTAAACATATTTTGCAGGAGTAATGGGAAAGCACGCCTAACCGTTCGTTTTTCGGTAAATAGAGTGCTTAATATTAAAATAATTACCTGTTTCGGGATCTCTGATCGAATATCCAACGGACGGCTCCAGATGTTGACGCGGGAAATCGATCCATGGAATCCAGATTCAGCCAAGGACGGTTCGTCGTCGGTAAGCGATGATCCGAGCGTAACCCATCCACTGATAATTAAAATTAAATCAAATAAATAAGAATACTTGATGTAATTAAATAGCCGGTGACACGTACTAAGTTTCCAGAGCCTTCCCTTCTCCGTAGCCGGGAATGGACGCCACGATAACAGCATCTGTAGACAGTGTGACGGTGCCCGTCACGCCATCCCACGTCAGTGCGATGTGATGCCACTGTCCGTCATTGATCGGGATCTTAGATCGGTAAGTCACGTACAAATCGGTTAGGTCATCGAACAGGGCGATGTGAACCCCAGAGCTATGGGCTTGCACCAGCAGCTTGCGATCGGTCGGCGTGTGCGGAGAACTGAACCGAGTATAGAAAATGTCATCAGTAATTTCCGTACAATTTTTCGACATGCTATACAGGCAAGCGAGTTATTACCCGACGGAATAGAGCGTGAAGAACGTTCCCTCTTCGTCCGAAACGGTGAACTGGACCCACATGGCAATGGTCATCGACGAAATCGGACCAAGCGAGAACGGCACAGCGAGCGATGCAGAACTGCTTCGACTCTCGTCATTCAAGTACAGGTCATAGTCATAGTTGATAGTTTTCCTGCAATCCTCGCCAGTCAAGTTGAACGGACATTTGCAGTAAAAGTCGTTCACCAAGTCGATGCAAACCGCTGCAGGGGGACAGCTGGCGGGTGTGCAGTCCGGAATGTCTTCTTCGCAGTTGACTCCAGTGTAGCCCGGAGCGCATTTGCACTCGTAGCCCATACCATTGTCCATGCAAGTGGCGCCGTTCTGGCAAATGTTTTCTTTACAGGCGTCGAATTCATACTGGCACCCGATGCCACTGTAGTCGGTTGGGCACGAGCAGTTCAGGCCAGAACCAAAGTCGCGGCAGAAACCACCGTTCATGCAAGGCGATCCAATGCAGCGCATCGGCGTTACTTCGCATTTCTTGCCATCAGTTCCGGACGGACAGCTAAAAAAAAAAAAAAAAAAAAAAAAAAACCAAATTAGTAAACCATGATNAAAAAAAAAAAAAAAAAAAAAAAAAAAAAAAAAAAAAAAACCAAATCAGTAAACCTTGATATTTCTAACCTCCTTGAGTCGAATACAGAATTTATATCCAGCAAAAAATAGCCGTTTTCTTAACTCGATTTCTTTTTGCTGGTGCGTTGAAGTTTGACTCAAGACATACGTTTAAAACGGAATTCGCATTTGATGAAATTGTGTCCTGGCATTCGAGCGAATTTCAAAATCAACGCTAGTCGAAATCATTGCTAAATGTAAAACGGTACTCGAGCTGAAAACCTCTCAAGAAGAAAAGCGTGAAACAGCACTCGAGAAAACAGTTTCGCGTGCATCTGAACTTCGTCCATTTACAGTTTAAGTACAGTAACTTGAATATTTTCCGGTCAAGCATCTCCTTATAAATACCATGAGTCAAATCAAAATACTGTTATTACTGTACAATTTTTTGCGTCTCTTGAAGACAAATCATTGCTGTAATATTTTTCGTTTGTCGTTTTCCTCTCACACTGTCTCTTTTTTTCGGGTGAGAGGGTAAGTGGAACGCGCTGGTTCAGAACGCGGTGATTTTGCAGAGATAAAAAAAACTCGCTTTTTATTGTTACGACACAAAATAAATAGGGCAGGAGCAGTGGAGAAAAAACTTACACGCAGAAGTAGTCCTGGAATAGGTCGACGCACTCTGCATTGTTCAAGCAAGGCTCAGCAGTGCAGCCGCCAATATCATCCTCGCAGCGATCACCCGACCAGCCCGGCGGACAATTGCAAACAAATCGGTCGATGGAATCCGTACACGAACCTCCATTCAGGCACGGGTTCGAGGCGCACTCGTCCACATTGGTTTCGCAGAGTTGGCCAACGAATCCGGCTCGGCACTTGCATTTGAACATGTTGTCCATGTCCATACACTCTTCCGTGCCGACTGGATTGCAGGGATTCGATTGGCATTCGTCAATTTCTGCTTCGCATTGCAGCCCGACGTATCCGGGTCGGCACTGGCACGTAAAGCCGTCGATTTCGTCAACGCAGGTGGCGCCGTTTTGGCACGGATCGTCTGAGCAGTCGTCAATCATGTGCTGGCACCTTTAAAACAATAAAATTATAAGTAAAAAAAACCTCAGCTATACGCAGTTAAAGCCTTATAAAAATACTGCATTGCCGAAAAGACATAAAGTGAAACTTCGAATTCGTATTCCTCAAACGCACCTCGAGCCCGTGTAGCCGTTGTCACAGACGCATTTGAAACCGTTAACTTCATCAATGCAGTCGCTGTTATTTTCGCACGGCGAAGACTCGCAGTCGTCGATGTTTTCGTCGCAATTCTTTCCAGTCCATCCAGGTTCACAAACGCAAGAGTAATCGAACAGAACATCGACGCACTTTCCGTTCGAGCACGGCGAAGCAACACAAAGGTCTACTTTCCTTTCGCATCTTTTTCCACTGAAACCAGCGGGACAATCACACCTGAAGTCGTTGACCAAATCAGTGCAATTGGCTCCCAAGAGACAAGGGATCTCAGCGCAGTCATCTAAAATTGGACAGAAAAGAAGGTAGTAAATTATCATAGAATGCCGAAATATTAATACAAAAACTAAGAATCTTACCGATATTTTTACTGCAAGTTGGACCTTCCCATCCAGGAGGGCACATGCACTTGAATCGACCTTGTTCCAAAGGCACACAACGAGCAGAGTTGTCACACGGCGGTTCTCCAGATTCAGGAGTGCAAGGATTCACTGTGACGTTGCAATCGGGGCCCGTATAACCAGCACGGCACAGGCAATCGAAGTTTCCAACGCCAGGCAAGTTTCTACACATGGCTCTTTCTGGACATGTTCCATTTCTCGAGCAATCGCTTTTTTCTTCTTGGCACTGCAAGCCGGAATATCCTAAAAAAAAGGTAATAAATTCAGAATACTGTAATGCATCCACTTTCTTTTAGGTGACTAAATCGAGCAAAGCCGTGGATACTCAACTTGCTGTTGCATTCTTTGACGCGTACTGTGATAGTGTTAAGTAAAGTATTACTAATGATTAGCATATGTTAAAGATTTCACAGAAAAAAAGGATATGTGTGCATCAGCAAAAAGTCGGAGTTTTTCAACAACGCTAACTATCGAGGACGGATAAAAGCTGTGACTTATTGTGGGGCATGGCCGGTGGAATCGCACCATTAAATCCACTAACCTGTTAATTAAAGGAGTCTTCCATAAATAATCAATTGAAGTTTATCAAGTCATAAAGCTGTATATAAATAGAAAAACTATTTGCACTTTCGAAAAAGTGAATTTCGATAAAGGCAGCACATCAAGGGAATTTAACATAATGAGCTGGTATATACCATCAGGACAGGTGCATTTGTAGCCCTGGGGCAAATCCGTGCAAGATCCACCATTGTAGCACGGCTCAGAGGCACAATCGTCCATGTCGACTTCGCAATGCTTTCCGGAAAAGCCAGCTGGACAGTAGCATCGTGGTTCATGGCCCTGCGCAATGCAGAGGCCGCCGTTTTCACAGAAGTCCGATTTACACTCTACATTCGAGCAAGCAGCACGATCCTGCGACCCAACTTCGGGCGTCATCTCGTTTGAGGCGCACTCGAAGCACGACGTCATTCCTTCAGAGAACTGGAAGAAGTTTCTCGGACACGAGGCACACGGTTCCAGACCAGTCTCGGAGTAGGTTCCCGGGCGACATTTGGCTGAAGGAAATGACAGAAAATTAAGGAACTCACCAGAATGGTTTTTTTTTCAAGTCATTTAACGTCAATAATGAGGGTAACTAAACAGCAAGAATCAAACTTTACTTTTAATGAAAAATGCACCAGGAAGAGGGGATAATCTTTGAGCAAACTTCATTCAATTAATCGACTCATCAATTTGCATAGCATCTTAAAATAACAGTCCTCAATATGAGACTATGAAGAAAGCGTTGAAGACGAAGTTTCAGATAATTTAAAAAGAAAATGCTTCAAGGAGTTCAAGCTTTGATCAAGTTATTATTATTAAATTATTGGTTTTTGTCAACCATGAATTCTTGCAAATATCCAAATGAATGGAACTTTGAATACGGTACGTCGCATACAGATTTAGTTGAATGCAGATTTGAAATGAGAATTTCATTTTCCATGGTGAGTACTTACATCGACAGAAGGATTGTCCTGGTGCAGCAGGCTGGTACGTGAATGTTTTCGGCGGACAAAGCTGGCATTCCTTGAACCCATCAGAAGGTGGTTCGCCCGTGTAAGAATTTCTCGGGCATTCCAAACACGGAACCAAGCCGGACGGACTGTACGTGCCGAAACCGCACACTGGGATACAATCAAGCAGCGACTTGCTTCCCTCTTCTCTCGTGTAAGTTCCTGGAAGAATACATAAAAAACGACGTTGAAATCCTGAGGATATTGTAGTTCTCCTAATGCAATAACTTCCACGTACCCATGGGACAACGTTGGCACTGTGATTGTCTCAACGACGGCTGGTAAGTTCCTCGAGGACACAACTTGCACGAAGTATCCGAAGCGTGTGATCCGGCCGGACAATACACTAGAGAAAATAAGAAGGTTAATTGGTAAAAAAAAAAAACTTTTTTTGCGAATTTTCAAAGCGTGATAATTATTCCAGTACACTTACAGCATCGTGGCACACCATCGTCAACCTTGGTCAAAACGTCGCCCTTCGCGCAGGAGAAACCTCTCGTGACCGACGAGGTCATGGCACGAAGCGGTGGGCAAGTGTTGCCAACTGCTGACACGTTCAACAGCGGTCCGATAACTTCAGACGTCGACGGTACAGAGAGATCGAAAATGAGTCCAAGAGTGGAGCCGCAAAGGTCGTACAGCAAAGGCTGACGAACCGCTGGCGCAATCCTCAACACGTACTCAATCTGCAAATCATCAAGCCCGAAGTCAGATTTATTTATTTTTCCTCGGAAATTTTCCACAGTCGCCAGCACTTACAGTGACCACGTTGTCATCAGCAACGAACGCCGTGGCGTCCATGAAGGTGACATTCATGTTCACGTTGATGGCCGAGCAGCGGGTGGACAACTTCGATGACAGCGTTTCATAAAACTGCTCGACAAGTGACGTGTACGCCGGCATGCAGTCGTCAGACACGACACCGTTACTTCTGTATGTCACAATGGCCGTGACGTCATAGCGAGCAAGTTCAGTATCTACCAAAGCAAGACCAAATTAGTATTCGTCTCCTGTCTATTGTTTGTGCGTAAGTTCTCAAAATTTCCTTCGCGGAGCCTCAATGATTCAGCAGAAACTCCAGAAAAATGAAATAATAAAAATCGGGTTATTACCGGTAATGATAAACCAAGGACAGTACATATGAACTCGGAATCGACATTCATTCATATAATTAGGAGCAAACACGGCATACAAATTTACCCTGAAAAATTCAGCATATAAATCGGCAGTATAATAATTTCACTGATATAAAAAAAAAACTGAGAAACTCCGGCCTCACGCGTAACACGTTCATTTTTATGAAATTTTTGGTGGCATTCTTTTAGCTTATTGTATTATTACCTTCGGGGACGCAATCGGGAACAACGCGGTTTGGTTTCCAAGGATCACGATTTTGGCAATTGTAAGTCTTGACGATTTCTCCATCGGTAAATCGGTAGCCTTTAGCACAAGAAACCAAGCAATCCAAGCCATTGCCCTCATCATTCGGCATACAGTTCACTTGTCCATTTGCTGGTGGCTTAAGCTCCCATTCCACGCACGGTGTAGGTTGCACAGAAACCTAGTGAATTTACCAGTGTTAAACCATGATCAAGCATTATAAAAAGATAGAAATAAAAATATTACTTGGAAATGGCAGACGGCTTGATTTCCAGCAGAATCGGTTGCCACGACAGTGACGTTCTCAAATGCACCCACAGTAATACGCGCAGATTCCGGAACAATCGTGAGCAGGGTTTCGTTCGAAGCATCGGACACATTGACCCGATTGATGACATCTCGGAAGTTGACCAGATAGCTTTCCTGTGGCTCAACCAACTCAATCACGTAGCTCTGCGGGCAGCTCAACGACGGCGGCGTCACGTCGGGCACTGTGATGTTGATCTGACAAATCGCCACGTTGCCGTCGTAATCGTATGCCAGGTATTCCACCATCATGTCTTGGAAAACGAAGACCGGCGGTTTGAAGCCACGTGGACGAACTTCTGTCCTGGCAACGGATCCGGAATTGTCGGTGGCGTAGGGTTCGGTGAAATTCACTGGCTCCAGGCCGTTGGGCCCTCGGGTTACTTGGATCGGGCTCGTCGGGCAATGCAAGAACAGCGGCGGCTCGTTGTCTAGAAAAGTAATTCAGTGAACTCCTTCAGCATGACGATTTTTCCATAAGTAAAGAAAAATTTTTCCGATAATATTTTTTTTATTCAAAAAAATTTAAGCCTTGAATTTTTGCGCAGTCATTCCCCCAGAAAAACATGACGTTTTCTCCTTAAAAAAAAAAAAATCAGAAAAAGTCGGTGCATATCGATTTTTAAACGCCTCAAAAGATTTTGAATAGAAAAATTCGTTGAAAGGGATTCAATCTTTTCGGAAAATCAGCATTTTTTAATCGCTATAAAATGAAGAATCGCCTTTCTTAAACAAATGAGAGAAATATAACCGAAATTCTTCCCTTTACTCGAAGTGAAACCTAAACTTGTCCCGAAAAAAATGAAGGGCAAAATTGCACGTACGTCGCTTTGACAAATTGAATGATTTTGGAAACAGAAGAGACAAATTTCACTCACCAACACAAGCAGGATAACCCATATTGTAACCAAGCAGCCTTTGATCCTCAGGTTCATCAGAGCAGCCCATCAATTCAAACTTCAGGCAAGGGTTCTTGTCGTAGCTCACAATCCCGAGGATCACAAAACGAGCTTGGACAGACATAGGCAAGGTGATCATTGCCAGTTCTCCGTAATTGCCAGGATCTCGAGCCGTCAAATTGAAATTCGGGAAATACACGACGTAGTTTTCATCTTCCTTGCGTTTGTAGAAAAACCTGATTTCCGTCGGACGCCCAACAACATCGTTCGTGACAACTCCCTTGACGAGTATCGCCTGTCAATTAGGAGAAAAACTTGTTACATGAGGAGATTTTATTGAATCAATGGAGAACTCTCCGAAATTTTCTAAAAATTTGATCAGAATTTAGACCATCGCTGGGACAGGGAATCAATAAAAATATTTAGGATCGAGAAAATTTAGTGTCGCGACTCGCCTTCACTCGATGAACTGAGCCGAGGTCAACGGAAACGTAAGTGAATGCCTCGTGCTGAGCACACCAGCCAGTGGCAGAGTTGAGTCGCACGTTCTTGGCCTCATAATTGGAGCGTTGCGTCGTGGCGTTGATAGCAGAATCAGGAATCTTGCCGGATGTGATACCTGCGGAAATTCGAAGAGAAAAACGCCAGGGTATTAGAACGTCGTTCGCCACAAGTTTTGAAGGAATTGAAAAATCCGTTCTCACCGATCGGCTTGATAGACCGGCATTCCGGATTCCGAAGGCATTTGATCGGCTCAGGAGCGATCGGAATGTAGCCTGGGCGATCGCAAGTGAAAGACACCTCAGCGCCTTGCTCGTAGGACGTGGAGATCTGCGAGCCATCTGGCGGCCTGCCGGGGTCCTCGCATACCGGGCCCTCGCAGCGCAGGTCACCGAAGTCCCACGTGCCATCCTCTTGGCATCTAGATAATCCCGAATCAAAATTGTCGAGTTTTTATCCTCAATTGGCTAGTATCAAACAAGAGTTCGGAAAATATTTCTATTTCATCAAAATATCCACCTTTCAATGAAAACAGCAATTTCTTAAAATGCGCAAGCCCTCTTTTTTTCAAAATTTGATAATCTTCGGAAGTATTTTTAATGTGTGTATCGCGAGAAATGCAGCATTTCGTGTGAATTGCGGCAATTTTATCAGAATACATTTTTTAAACGTGAAATAAATACAACGCTACAAAGGTATTTCAATGATTTTGAAAGATGCGATTTTCATCAATTTTAATAAAAGATGCTGCCTGAATGCTTCTAAGAGAGCACTCAAGGTTGGATTATATTCGCAGCTAAGAGTCAATTGGGGGATGTGAATGTCGCTAAGCGTTAAGCACACACACCGTAATCAGAAATCAAGTGAGAGGTTTAAAAAACGATTTCATAAAAAGCGATGCAGTATTTGTGGATATTGTGTACGGATCCAATCTGATTTAAAAGTTGTCACGGCGAATTGGTTACAGAAACAAGCCATGCGTTACTCGGATCACACGGTCGATGGCACAGCAGCAGCAGCTTTCTCACCTGACAAGGTTGTCATTCAAACTTGACTGGCCGGCGAGACTGAAAGTGTCTTCGCAGCCGAAGAAAAACGAAGACATGTATCTCGTGTCAATGTAAACTCCGTAGTTGGCACCCGGGGTTTCAGGTGGGATTCCGCAGTTGATCCTCGGACAGCCTGGTGGAGCACCGCTGAGCCTGAATGGAAAATGGCGTTTCCGCATTACCATTAAATCGCCTCTCGAAATAATGTCAACCATGCGTGAAGATAATTACCAGTAATCAAAGGGAAATCCGGGCTTCGGGTCATAAACGCACTGACGGAAAACAGACGTGGCCGTTTTCCTCATGGGTTTGCCCATTTCGCTGCATTGGATGGTGACATTTTCGTTAAAAGGCACCATATCCCCATCTATATCCGGTAATGTCACCGTCAATCCACCCGCCGGGTCGTCTTGCAACGCAGCACATTTCGCAACTATAACAGACACATATTTATTTGCAAAAAGTCACTTTTCACCCCCGTCACAGTTACCCAGATCCTACTTTTTCTTTCTAAAAACTATAATGCCTTTCGAAATGCAAGAATGGAAATGATTGGTGTTAGGTACGTCAAATGGCGCATAAATTCGAATCGCCTGACGCACCAACAGCGCGCCGTGATTTTGGAATATCTCCTCCAGGGCAACGACCATTCATTTTGCTGGCCCAAACGTTGCTATCTCCTTCAATAAAACGAGTCCGAAAGTAGGGCTCGGTATCCGAAAATTGATTGATAGAATTATTATCATTACGTGATAAAAAAAGGGGGAAACGATACGAAAGTCCGATCGACTCACATTCGCAAGTAGGGACAGTTCCATTCCAGGTTCCGCCAGCCGTACATTGCAGCGTCGGGCTTCCGTTCATGACGTAACCGAAGTCACATTGGAAAGACACACGGTCCTCAAAGTGGAACATTTTCTACGGAGACATAATCCAAACATTGACGTCCGAAGCTGTCCACGGAGAGATAATAAATCCATCAAAAACTTTTACCTGCACTGAAAGCATGATGCCGTGCTCGGGAGCAACCAACGCCGGGCACATTTTAGGCACGCAAGTTTTGTTGATACGGTAAATGTCGCCGTCTCGAAGTCCACTTTCGCTGTCTTCAATGATGAAGCCCGCGGTTCCGTTTCCAGAGTACAAATCAAATCCGACGCTGCACTGGCAATTGAACGATCCAGGGCTGCGGAAAATTTACGAGGACGAAGGTAAACTTTTTCTTTTTAGCTGCTAATACTAAAGTTTTTTCGGATCAAGTTTTACGCTAGTCAAATCGCAAAACCAATCAGTGTTTCTCGAGTTCATAAAACCTCAGATTGTTACGTACAGTAGTTACAAGATTGAATACAACGTCAGGCAGCGATTTGAGAAAAAAAACGTTATAGGCCGCAACAAGAGGAAACCTTTTTTATAGCTGCCTTTACAAAAAACAAACTGATAAATTACTAGAGATAAATTCAAATTTACCTTTGGTTTAAAAAAAAGAATAATGCGATGCCAGAAAACAGCGGCATTTAGTGCCCCGTCCATTGCATTTTAAATTTATGTGGCTTCAGAACTTGTAGGAGTTAATAATTTTGGAACTTTCTAAACTTCGAAAGCTTTACTCGCCATACTTTGGTACTGTGCAGTACTTTGCGAATGTAGGCCATGTGCGATTTTCCAGGGATATTTGAGGGAAAGGATGTCATATAATCGCGTAAATACGGGTATTCGAAAACTATCTGTATTCAATGCAAAATGGATGAAATTCCGGCAATGATCCGATCTTTGCTGTCTAAAAACGGACTATTTTATCCAGTTCATTCTTTAATTTTTTTTTGCTTTCAAGATATCCGTTGAGAAATATTTTACAGGAAAGAGAGAACAGAATTGGCATAAATGAATGTATTTTACTCACGAGTTAACGCATCGCTGATCGCAACCGCCGTTACTTTTGGCGCATTCGTTGACGTCGCTGCAGTCTTGACGTGAGCAACCATTCAATTCCAGGCGAAGACAAGGAGCAGTGACATAGTCCTGGAGCGTGAGCCGGAAGTAACGCGCTTCGACGGAAATTGGCAAGTTGACGACCGAAGGCCCGTTGCTGGCGAGGATGCGGAACTCGACTGGGGCCCCGTTCGGCGCCCGGTACTCGCGGAAAATATCGGTCAAGTCATCGGTGTACTGAGGAGTGAAGGGATTCGTAATGCGTCAGAAAATACCCATTAACCTTACAACGCTTCCCAAAAAGCAATTAAAAATGCATTACAAAGCCCCCGAGTGGCTTATAGCAGCGAAGCTTTACGCAGCTTTTGAGCCCCCTAAAATCTGCATTTATCGCAAAAATATTTTCTTTTACGATTCTGTCGCGATTGATGCTTGCGCTCCGGCCAGTTCGATAGAAACGTTCAAGAGCTAAACAGCAGTTTCAAAAAACCTTCCAAGAACGCTTGTGTTAACGAAAAACAAAGTTATACTGTGCAGTAGTGGGGAAGTAAAACCAAAACTTCGAAAACCTTTCGCGTCCAGTGTGTATAAGAGGGGTGACGTTTGTACTTTTCCTGTTGGATTATGGTCAGATGGAATGTGATGAGTGAAATTTTTGTACTGAAAAAATAGTATTCACTGATAACTTCTCAAATTTTGGCTCATACAGGTTGATATGGACGGAAGACAGTTGAAGATATGTACACAAAAAATCTGCGCGTGGATGAAGATTTATCTATCCCATACTATTTTTATGCATTTTGAGGTGATTCTCTCGTGAATAAATATTTATAATTATAGAAAATCTTTCCGTGACGAAATCTTGGCTCAAACCATATTTAAATAAAAACTTTCCCTCTTGCCTACTTTTGAGGGAGAAACTGCTCTAAAATTTGAATCGGTGGGCAAGAAGATGCACAAGTCAGTGCTGACGTTGAAGAAAATCAATTCTTAGCGAATAAACAGGGACTTGTTCTGATAAAGTCTTGCTATTCTTCCCAAAATCGCTTCGACGATTCTAACTTTGGACGGACTTCATTCAAATGTACGCCAATCGGAAACAAAATCCATCACCCTTCGAAAATTAAATAAAAAATTCGAACTACAGGGAACGCAACTCAATTCCGAAGTTTTGGCAAATATGCTCTTCTGGTCCAAGATCAATGCAGAAATTCCTCACCTGAAGTCGGAGGACAGACGCGTATGCGATGGACCCGTCGAGGCGGTTAACGGGTCGGGTCCGGAAGCCCTTCAAAATCGTCGGGGCTCGCATGTCGACGATGACCCAGTTGGAATTCTGCGTCGATATCCCGCCGCACCAACCCAGCTCGCTGTTGAGGCGCACCATCTGGAGGAACATGGGAGAGAAATCGTGGTCGAAGCTCGAAACCAACAAGCAAAGACAGGTCACGCACCCTCTTCTCGTAACCTTCTTCCTCGCTCGACACCTTGATGGCGTCGTCGGGGATTGCGCCGGTGCTCAAGCCCAGGTCACCAACCGGGCGACAGTCCAGATTCGGTCTAAAGCCTTCCTTGCACTGGCAATGGAATGCTCCTGGCATGTTCTTGCATTCCGTTGAAGCCAAGTCGCACTGCGCAGCTGAGCACTCGTTGATGTCTGGAAGGCACGGAATTGTTCGTACAGGAATCGATTTAAACCCGGAGAATGACATTTATTCAACCATACGACAGCATAAAACCAGATTATCTTACATTCCCCGAATTCAGAAAAATTCTTGCATGCCAATAATGATGCTTGTCTACTAAATGAGGACTAGATCTAAGTTGTCTCAGCAATCAAGTTACGAGTGCTGGCATGATCCCGGGAAGATATTCCGGCCGGAAGCCTCGAAAGAATGTTCAAAATACTTCAACTTGTAAAAGGAAAAAAATTCAAACTCGCAAGGCATCCTCGAAACTAATTACTAACGCTTCTTCGACGGAACAGGGCTTCGAAGAGAGTGAAGACGCGAGGAGAACTGGGTAATGAAAAAATTTTCCACTTGTTCCCATTCACCGCATTCCGAAGTCGGATTCCAGAGAAAGTATGAGGAGCTTTTATAGAAATTTCTGCCGTTAAAAAACTTCAGCCTAAAATATTCCACATTTCAGCCTGAAGCACCGATTTTACCCCAAATGGAAAGAGCAACTAAATTTTTTCATCGCTCCATTATTATGACCATGAGCCAAATTTTCTGCTGTCTTTTACATAGGGCACTCGTATTAGGCCAACATTATCTACGAGTTCCCACTGCAACTGATGAAGATGGCACATTTCGTTTGAAATGATTTAATTCACCATTTCGGTCCATTTCGGCCAGGTTGAAATCGTTCAGAGGTTTAATCAATCTACACTTCTACTTTACTTGAGAAGTAAGTCAGTTCGAGAAATTTCGGTCAGACGGATATGAAACCGAGAAGTTCCGAAAATTGAAAGCATCTGCCCAGTATTTTTACCAAAAAGGACTCCTGGGAAAGCAGCAGAAACTACAACCGCGCTGTTCGTGATCTCGGATCGTTTCGCGATGAACGTCAAAGGCAGTTTTGAAATTTTGAAATAACTCCGTTATGGGGCATGAAATTCGGGAAGCTGATGTTGCATCACGAGATGAACCACATTGAATGGCTCATCGCTGCTATCCGGAAATCTTTCAAAGCTTTTCGATATGTGAATCCCTTTTTCTTTATTCATACGTTTCGCAGGCGTAACGAATCGGTTCGCGTCGGAACTGGACTTTCCTTCGAGTACTCGGGCTCCAGGCAGTCTTCCTTTAAACGTATTCTAGTCGCGTCCGACAGGAAGGCTCTCCCAAAACAGTTCCGGAAGACCGTTCCGAATTTCTAAGAACCGGTTCTCATGCTCTTGTTGCATCTACGAGAGCAGCGAGGCACATCACAGGGTACACGTTTAAATAGGCTAGTACAGTTGAATCCCCTTCAAATGCCCCGGGCTCCGGGCGATTTTTGTCTCGGGTTAACAGCCCACAGGTAAAAAGATAAGTCGATCTTTCGAGCGGGGCTGCCAGTTTTTTTTTTTTTTTCACGGAGAAAAAGGCCCTCTTGCTTTTTTAAAATTATGTGGCGCTCTGTTCTTATTTCTGACTTCAGATTGCTGATTTAGTGTTCCACAAAAGTTCCAAGAGCTACTGCGTGTGAAAATTGACCCATATTTTGCGCAGCGATGCCTCATAACGTTAAAATGATTGAATAAAAAAAATAATAGCAGAAATCGGTGATCCTTTCCTGAAGCTCGGAAATCAGACATATCGCGTAAAATGTTAACCCGGTTAACGGCCATCGCGGATAACAAGCTAATAACCATTCAATACATTATCCTCGTAGACAGCGGCAACTCAGCAACTCAATTTGCAGTTTCGAGTTGGAACGGATGAAGGCCGTTAACCGGGGTAACATTAGGTAATTATTCATGCGATCGACCATTGCTGAAAAAAGTAGGGCAAAATCATACCTTCACAGGAGGGCAGATTGACAAACTCCTGGCTGGGGCCACAAGTTATGGTGTTGGAACCAACGAGCTGGTAGCCTCGGTGGCACTGCACGCGAACCTCGTCACCATAGAAGTACTCCTGGGTGCTGTTGACGATGAATCCGTTGGCGATTTGCGGGAAATCGTGACATTGTACACCTGGAACCGGAACTCGACGCGTGAGCACGCAAAGGAAACGACTTCGCGAGAACGGAATCGAGTCGGGGATGACCATACTTACGGGAGCAAGTCGGAACCCTTCCGGACCAGGTCCCATTGGACTGGCACAGAATTACTGGAGTTCCGGTTCGGTAATAGCCTGGTTCACATTCGAATCGGACGACTGTTCCGTAGCTCCTTCCGCCTCCGCTCAGGATTTTCTGTGACGCGTGTGACACTTCAGGCAACGATGGACACTGGGACGCTGTTGAAACACATCACGGATATTGATTAGACTAAGCTCATTCCATCTAATCCTCAAGTTATTGACCTCAGCGAAAATAAAATTCAATTAATACCCCCAAAAGTTAGCAGAAAAAAAATCAATAAATTGAACTTCCCATTAGCTTTGCAATAATCATGGTTAATGAAAAATGTAGAACTTTTTAATTCTACAAGTGATATAGCGACACTCCTTCGTCTCATAAAGCGATAAATATTCCGGATTCCCTAAAATTTCCGAAACATCCGAGAACAATTTTGAGACTTAGAAATTGATTGCGGTAATTTATAGAGCTGTAAAGGATGCCTTTGGGTCCATAATTTTGGCCACGGTTATTCGGGGCAGGGACAAAAGTGGGTCTTCCGCATGATGTTCTTAATTTGCACATGAAAAGGGGAATCGGGTGGTCGACGAATCAGGCTGTCGCAGATGGAAAATATTCCTTCCAAAAGACTTTAAATTTTTTTTATTGTGAAACGGATAAAGAGACCGAACAGCAATTTTTTATATTTTCCTCGGTTCCGAAAAATCACATCCTCTACAACCAGGCCAGGTAAATCGCACCACAAAATTTCGCAGAACTCATCCATCATAAACCTTTCGCTGCACGGCTCAGAGTGGATTGGTTTAAAAAAAAAAAGTACAGTAAACTCGTTGCTACATAACAGTCGTCATCAATCTCACCTAGACACGTCGGGAGTTTCTCCCACACTCCATCAGCAGTACATGTAATCGTTTCCACTGGCAAACCTGACGGAAACCCGAACCCTGCATAACATTGATACGTCGCTTGACCTCGGAAGGTCACGTTCGTAGATCCGATTGCGAACCCATTGTCGATTTGAGGCACCGGTCCACAATACCTCTCTGAAACACGACACGGGACAAAGTTCGGTCAATCACACGACGTTTTTTTTCAGCCCGAAATAATTTCTCTTTTTTAATTAAAGCGGAATCTTCACACGTCAATTTTTTTTAGAAAACACGCGCAAAAAGAACGATAAAATCAAAGCACCGATTCGAGGAATCAATTAATTATGTTTTACTCGCTTTAAAATCTTGCGAGCAACGGAAAAGCTGAACGCAGTTTCTTTTTTGCAGGCCTCGAGAGAAGAAAGACGATGAATAAATTACCGAGACGGAACTTCGTTCCTGACCCAAATGAATTGATTACAACAACAGCAGATTCCGGGCAAATGGAAAGCGAAACAGCATTCTTAAAGAAAATTAGACTCGAAGACTTAAAAAATCTCACCTTGGCACTTGGGAATGTAGCCCACAGACCATTTCCCACCGGGTTGGCATTCCGTCATAATTTCCGTTCCACCCGTCGCGAATTCTTGCCCGATTGGACAAGTGAACTTGATCTGGGATCCGAAAGCAGTGTCCCGGTTCGACGCAATGGCTCCTTCTCCAGGCACGAGGTTCGGGCAATCTGTGACGAAAACCGTTCGCGTTGTTTTATTCCCTTGAAAAGAATTGCGGTCCACGCTGAGGTGAAATTAAAATGATGAATTACCTGCTGAGAAGACTGCTCTCCAGCCCGCAGCGTTGCGCAGTGGATCCGCGGTAAATTTGACGTACATGGAGCCAGTTTCTGCGCTGAGCGTCAGCGAGTCAGACACACCCTTGCCGGTGAACCCGTCGCCGGGATGAAGCCTGATTCCGTTCTCGTTCGGGCCATCGTAAATCTGCAAAAACATGAACAGGAACAAAAACACATTTTAATATAAGTTGAAAAATACAGTATATCCATAGACTGTTCGACTCAGGGCACCCAGAAAGAGAGAAGCATGCCTAGGAATATTTTTAAGCAATAATTCCCACAAACTTATATACGTTTAAAGCTTCCAAGAAGTGCTTAAGAATGAATGCACTTTCAGGGATTAAAACAGTATTTTCAGCCAGAGAAACGCGTGCCAGTTATTCAAATAAGTATGCAATGACTTTCATATGATTGGAACGTTCAACGTGTAATGTAGCCAAATTTTTCAATCTTCAGCCTTTCCATGAATATCACTGATGGAATTTGTAACCCACCCATGACTGGATAAACACCGCCATAGATTTAAATTTATTCAAAAATCGAAATACTTCGGTGTGTAAGATTTAGTTACAGTATAATGTACTTGGGTTTCCGTAAATGCAGCATTACTTGAAAAGGGCGGGCAGCTTCATCAACGAAGTAGCACTATGGAATTATGAAGTGTGCATTTCGAAAAAAAAAAATACAAGCATATTTTCAGAATGATTGCAAAAATGAAAATTTGAAGTTCATCATAGAATTATTTTCAGGTCGAAAAATAGGATCTAAGAAATGAGACGCAGAACTTGTAATGAAAGCCAGCGGTGCAGTCAGGCTTTTCAATCTCAAGTATGCATACCATTGGTGGTAGTACAGTACTTTGCGACCAAAACTTGGTATAAACCACTGTTATGGCTTGTGAGTGGTAAAGAAGTCCGGAGATTTAGGGTAAGTGTCACGCTGCATATCGTAGGGGTTAAGTTAATTTACTCTGGTTCCCATAGTTTACGAGGCGTTGCTTCAGCATATACCGTACAGTAAAAACAGCCTTTACAAACAAGGGCGAGGCAACTTCATCAATAAAAATTCAATAATGTTAATTCTCCTGCGCGAAGTTGCTTGATTAGAACATTGCTGCAACGAAGCCATATTGAGCAATAAAATAGCTTTGTTGTCACGAAAATTCTTTCATAGTAACTCATTTAAAATTGTGGCTAAT